ACTCATTTATAAAAAAATACAATTGTCAGTTCAAGATAATTCTCGAATCTAAATGACGAATCCCATTTTCTTTTCATTTAGCAACGAGTCTTGAGAGAACGTCAACGAATTCGAGTCTTAAGAGGGTCTGAATGTAGAATCATTTGACAGAACGAAATAATACGCAAAATTTTGATGACATTTCAATTGATGAAAGTACTGTGACATGGAAAAATAGAAGAAAATAGTAAAATAAGAATTTAAAAAAAAACAGAAGACATTTGGTAGGAAATTGCTAATTTATCAGCCACAATAACTAAACTCATTTATAAAAAAATACAATTGTCAGTTCAAGATAATTCTCGAATCTAAATGACGAATCCCATTTTCTTTTCATTTAGCAACGAGTCTTGAGAGGGTCTGAATGTAGAATCATCTGACAGAACGAAATAATACGCAAAATTTTGATGACATTTCAATTGATGAAAGTACTGTGACATGGAAAAATAGAAGAAGATAAAGTAAAATAAGAATTTAAAAAAACAGAATACATTCGGTAGCAAATTGCTAATTTATCAGCCACAATAACTATACTCATTTATAAAAAAATACAATTGTCAGTTCAAGATAATTCTCGAATCTAAATGACGAATCCCATTTTCTTTTCATTTAGCAACGAGTCTTGAAAGAACGTCAACGAATTCGAGTCTTGAGAGGGTCTGAATGTAGAATCATTTGACAGAACGAAATAATACGCAAAATTTTGATGACATTTCAATTGATGATAGTACTATGACATGGAAAAATAGAAGAAAATAGTAAAATAAGAATTAAAAAAAAACAGAATACATTCGGTAGGAAATTGCTAATTTATCAGCCACAATAACTAAACTCATTTATAAAAAAATACAATTGTCAGTTCAAGATAATTCTTGAATCTAAATGACGAATCCCATTTTCTTTTCATTTAGCAACGAGTGAGGGCTCAATTCCAATGTACGACGGCGAGGAACTCTACATGATCGAGTTGGACCAGGGTGACGGCTGGACGCGCGTCCGCAGAATGTCCCAGCCCATCGAGGGCTTCGTCCCCACCTCCTACATAGAATTTCAACTGTACAACACATAATTTCCCCTCCAGTGATTCGTAAGAATACCTAAATGTTTACAAAAAGTGGTGCGTTGTTGAAAATAATATTTTTTTCAATGCCGAAAGAAAAAATACTCGACAGGCAGATTAATCCAGCGAACAATCGATTTTCTATCGATGAGTAATCGCTTGATAAATGTGATTGAACCTGAACAATGTGAAACATCAAATTGGCCTCTTTCTGGTCAATACTACATAGCTGTAATCGTTTGATTTAGTTTCGTGCAATTTAACAAACAGTCTGTAATTTTTTTGTTCGTCTCGTAGTTATTAAAATTCAGACCATTATCCATTGGTGACAGTTGAGCTAAAGTGCGGGTTAAATGAACATTGCAATCAACATTTGATCTTTATTGCGTACGATCAATGGAGGTCGTTGTGGAGAGGCTTTGAATGTGGCACATTAAGCGCGTTACCTCCTCGAGGAAAATTAATACTATTCAGCTATGGGTGTGCGAGTGATTCCATGTAAAAAAATTGGTATGAATGAGATTTAATGCGGTTGTGGAAAAACTTTTTACTCTGATTAAAATCTATTACCAATGGACCTCTGTTCATTTTACACTGAAAATATTTCGTCAATGAGTGAATTTAATTACAGAAATTTTCACGTTCTGATTATTGTGGAGATGAAATATTATTTCTGTCCAATTATCTTCACTCGTTCTCGCTTGCGATGAATTTTGCTTGAGGCTCGATTGAATTCATCGTGCATATTGGGATTATTAATGGTATATTCATAGCACTCGTTATGAGTTATTTGTCATCGCACGGAATATTCACAGGGGCTGGCCCACGGATGGTCCTGGATTAGGTATTTTCTAATGTAAAAATTGAATGGGAAATTACATGAGACTGATCTCCGCAGGAATATCTCCCCGTGTGCGAGGTGACATTCTAGATTCTATCATGTTCTTTTTGATAGGATTATGGTGGGGGGAGGGTGGGGTAAGATGGACACTTGGGAATTTTTTTCTAATGTTCATAACTCAGAAACGAATTTATCAGTTGAAAGCAGTCTAGGCTCATCGCAGGGGGAAACAATTGTTTTCTTCATGAAAAAAAAAATTATCACGTTTCATTGAAAATTACATGAGCTGTTGATATTTAAAAGAGGGAATGTGTCCGTTTTGCTCCATTAGCCCCTGATTATGATAATTGAAGGACAAGTCACGAAAAAAAATTGTAGGAAAATCTGGAGAATTTTCTGGGAAATTCTGTTGGATTTTCATTAATTTTTCGTACATTCTATTGAAAAATTCCGCAGATTTTCTGAAAATTTTGTGTTTATAGGAGTGTTTAATGCAGAATTTTTTACAGGGAAATGTCATTTGTTGAGATATTTTCTGTAGAAATTCATGGGCTCTAATTTTTCAATTTTTTTTTGTTCAATTTTTTTAATGAGAGAGGTCAAAATAGAATGAAAAATATTTCGACAATTGATGTCGAGGAATTCCTATAGAAAATGTCTCAACAGAAAAAATTGTATGAAAAAATAAAATTTCAAAATTAAAAATCAAAATGAAGATTCCATGGATTTTTTCCATAAAATAGTTTTTAAAAATATTTTCTAATAAAAAAACGTATGGAAAGAATTTGATTTTTTTACTGTTTACTCTATTGAGATATTTCCCAGGGAAATTCTTCCCCTGCCTTCAATTTTCCAAGTTTTTCCATTTTTTTTACTGAGAAAAAAATCTAGTGAAATTTTTTTTTTAATAATTTTTTTAAATGCTCAATAAAAAATATTTCATATAGAATTTGATTCTTCCATACAATCCATTCAATTTATTTTCTAGATTCTTTTTGTTTAATTTTTTTAATTGGAAAAGCAAAAACAAAGTGAAAAAAAATGAAATTTATATCGAGGAATTCCTATTAAAAATGCATCAGTAGACGAAGTTGCATAAAAAGATCGAATTCCCCTGATATTTTCTCTAAAATGATTTTGATTAAACATTTACCATAAAAAAGTCACTGTAAAGCTGCGAAATTCTCTTGATTACTCAAATTTTCAATAGAAGTTCAACAGAAATCCAATAGAATTTTCTATCAAATTTCCTAGGTTTTTCTACAATATTTTTCGGCCGTGATGTAGTACGTTAATCACTCATTGCTCAGAGCTATCTCTCTGTACATAGTGTGGATTTGGGAAAAGGGTAATTTTGAAAATTACTGAACAAATTGACAAATTGATGAGATAAACACTTGCAGACAGTAGTTTAGATGCCGGATGTATTTGAATATCGTCCATCTCATTCGTTGAATCGCACTCGAAACAGTCCCTCTCCCCTTGAACGGTCTAATAAATAACGATTTAACTGCACTGAAGATAATTCTCCAAATTATTTTAAATTATTGCACCTCAAAAGTACTCGTAAATTACTAGGGATAAATAAGTCGATCAACAAAGAGACTTGAAAAAGAAAGTAACGAGATTAAGCGATAATTATTTGACTTTGAATAATCTGTTGACCGCCTGGGGACGAGGGGAATTGAGAACCGGAAAAAATGAATTTAGATCTATAAAAATCAAAAAAATCAATGTAATCTGATTGAGAAAAATAGGTAGCCAATAGAAAGTGGACATATGGACTAATTCACTTGTTATTGATTCGTTGATTAAACTACTTCCGAATCATCATTGTAAATAATTACGTTCAAGTAATGAAATGCATAGCTTTTGGCTAATTACTCAAAGTACGAAATATTCGAGTTGATTTTTTTTGCAGTTGGAGTTGTATCTGACGGTTCAAGGAAAGTCAGCTGTGAATTTAAGCTAAAATACTTTGTTCATCATTTCTTTTAATATTATATCTGCGACAGTAGCTACACAATCGAATTTGACAATTATACTTACGATTTTTTTATTCGTTGACTCGGTTTATTTAGTTTTTTATTGACACGTACTGTTTCTGCTATTTATCTACGTTTTTTTAAGATCACAAATTTGCAATTGTATTGGAGAAAATATCAATTAACTGTGCTGAGATGATCGATTTGAGGATTTATCAATAGCGGATAAGAAGAATTTATTGAGGAAAATAAAAACGTGTCTATACTCTGTATATTTTGTGATTTTATATGAAATTGAAAAGTATTGTAGATAAATAACATCCGCAAACATTACATTTTTAATATTAATTAAGACTAATTAATGTTTAGAAAATATAAATACTAAAAAAGTGATTGTGTTTGCTTCGAAAATTCTAATTTTTTTCAATCTTTTTTTATTCATTCACTAATGTTTATGGGAATGATTCATGCACCAATTTCCTGTCGCGAATGTCACGATTCATGTGGCAGCTGTGGCAATGTCCGTCAAAGCATTTAACTATTTGTTTATTTAATTCTTCTTCGTTTTGGTATTTTCACTTCAAATCGGTTGATTTTTACCGAAGTTACAGGCATTTGAAGACAAAACTTGCAAAAAAACATGGCTGTCCACAGGATACCTCAAAAAATCTGAAAAAATTTGAGAAGTCATATTTTTCCATATACAACCACAGGAAAAATCGGCAATATGATTGGTGATGGTGAGGGTTTTGACCTGCGTGAGTTCACATGGAATACCCCATATATTATTATTATTATAACTATTTTGGCGTGTATTGCTTATAATAATAATAATAATAATAATAATAATAATAATAATATAAATAATAATTATTAATAATAATTATTATTGTTGGATTATTTTATTATTATTATTATTATTATAAGCATTGTACGCCAAAATATGCAAAATATAAGGGTAAAATGTTTAACATATATTTCTCTCATTTCCTTATGTACAATCATTCATTTGTCGAATTTGACATTGTAAATACTGCAGAATAAACAGATCCGATCAATTAGCCCCTCATGTATAGATATTCCAAATTTTTNCACAATATCAGATTAAATAAATAATATTGTTATATCCAGAGAAAGACACACAACACAATTAATAAAATGGTTGGGGCGGTTTATTAAATATCAGAGACAAGCCAAGAGACAGACGTGTATCGACCAAGATATCNCCCCTCTATTTCATTATTTCCAAAAAATTTTATCACCAATCGATAGCAAATTGTTTGAAGATTTTTGCGAGTTGAGAAAAAATCGTCAATGCAATCCTATTATTGTGTAAATTAACAATTCCAATTTTAACTGAAAACCAGAGTTGATGACCAGAGTTTGTAATAGAGATGTCAGACAAGATATGAATGTTTTTTTTGGCTCAAATGAAAGAGCGGCTCGAGTTACGGCCAGAAGCGGCCAGTTACTAAGTTATTAGTATTTTTTTAACCCAAAGCACACTGACCTTCATCATCACCTCCTCGAGATTAATGCGCTTCGATTTGTAAAAATATCGATAACTTTCTGCGGGAAATTTGTTGAAAAATTTGGAAAATTGGGTGCATTCTGTTACCCCTTAATCGTAAGCTTCAAGACGACTTTCTGACCTCGAGAAAAATCTGATGGACATGACTATTTCTGCAGGAGAATACCCTAGCTAAGGGTTGAGATCCGAGACAATAAGTCCAGTGCAAACGACATCTACAGAACAATATTCAACAGAGCCCTCGAGCTCTTGGCTCCATTGCTAAACCATCCCTAATATATTTATGAGACAGGCCTTTTATTTTATAATGAATATTCGACTGAATAAACAATCAAAAACACTGATTCGACTAAGGGCAGAAGGCCCGGGTCAAGGGCTGCCAGGGCTCAAGAAATCCACTTTATTATAATTCAATACGACAAAATAATTAGTCAACTGGGCGCCAGTTAGTTTATCGACAACTAACAACGTTTTCCCGACTTATCTCAGGGAGTGGAAGTTGGAAGACCCAAAATAGTAGACGTTGACAGAGAGAGAGAGGAAGAATTATAGACAAGAACACTTTTAATTAATAATTACTCACTTATTATGTCGACAATTCACTCGATTTATTTCCTAGAAGATTCTAAACGTTCTCGGGTATCGACTCTTACCACACAATATCAGATTAAATAAATAATATTGTTATATCCAGAGAAAGACACACAACACAATTAATAAAATGGTTGGGGCGGTTTATTAAATATCAGAGACAAGCCAAGAGACAGACGTGTATCGACCAAGATATCTCAGAATAATAATAATAGAGCATCGGACTTGACTTCAAGATGATCGTCCTTTTGGTTCTGTTCCATGACATCCTTCAGACTGGATATAATTAAAAGGGTTCGAAGGGGGACACGTAACAATATACAATATAGAATATAAGAGACCACTATACAGTCTCGCTGCCGGGCGAAGAGTGTCGTGCCACGAAACTTGTTGCTCGTCGCTCACGCTGTCGAATATAAATCAATAATTTGGCGATTGCGCCTCAGATGATATCTGAATTTTTAATATGGCGACTTGAGAATTCGAGAAAATATTAGTCGGTTTCATAATAAATGAATGTTTATTAAAGATTTTGTGGCGAAAAAATAATAAAATGAAATACAAAAAGGCGTGACGCGTCTGCGGAATAGGATTAAAGATGAAAGAAAGTTTTCGCAATGCTAATTAATCTCAACTACCCTTTGTGATTAATACTATTGAAGAAAACATTCAAAAAAAGTGAGAATATTAAAAAATTGATGAATGAAAAAAAATGGAGAATGGAAATGAAATATTCATTAGTTTGTTAAAGATAATATCCATCAGATAAAGTCGGGAAGTTGAATAGGAATTGCCAATTCTCATTTTTGAAATTGGAATTGCTACGGATCCACTCGGAAACAGTCACATGGGTTCTGCGCAATAGGAGTTCAACCCTGCTTGTTTTTTTTTTTCAATTCTAAATTTGCTGTGATGACCGTTGATTCTTTAATTCTTTAATGGAAAGAGACTTCAGGACAGAATTCCTTCGGAGGGATAAGTCATTTCGAGGTTTTTTTAAAAGAGAATTCAAACTTTTTATATTTAAAGGATATGACTTGGAGTCATTTTTTATTTTCAAAATAAATTGACTGAGGAAGGAACTAAAAAAAAAACACTTCATTCGGTTGGTAAATATATTTGTGCACCCAATGGGTAATTTGACTAGATAAAGAATACATGTTAAATACGAAACATCTCATTATTATTCGTCATACAAATGTTAAAAACCCAATTTTGAAAATAACTTCACAAAACAATTGAGCATTGAAAAAAAGACTCTTCTTTGCGAGAAAACAAACTCAAAATTTTCACGTAAAAAAATGAATATCACGATTTATTTTTAGATATTTGGCAGTCCTAGGTTGACGAATGACGCAGTAGTAAATATATCTGTACAGTACGAATATTTATATTATGTACAGTTGTATGCAAAGTAATCAAAAAATTGAAACCTATCAGCCTATTTGTTAGTATCTAATCAGTTGTAAATCATCTTTATATCGTACATGAGATCTCAGCTGTGTAATACTGCTCTGAGAACGCTGTACTAAATTATCATTGCTAAAGTGATTCGAAATTTTCCCAGTTACACTTGTTAACGTTTCATTATCAAATTATTATAAACAAATCGTTAAAAAAACTAATGAAAGTGAATTCTGTCGCGTTGGAGGCGGGACGTCACAGTTATAGTTTTGTATTAAAATTGTGTCTAGGTGAAATTGTTTACATGCACGTTCCATTGGCAGAATTAAAGAGGAACATCAATTCTTGTTGTTGAAATTGTTTTTTGACGATCTAATTCTTTAACAAATACGGACGATATTGCAGTAAAAATTTATAAATATTCACTGTTTGATGCTACTTGTTTTGATTTAAGTTTAAGAGCAAATGATTCATTTAAACAATTAACAATTTTCTCCGTCTCGATTCTGTGCGCTGAGAGAAAAAAATCTCAAACGAGTCTTATTTGAATGACAACATTTTCAAGTTATAAATTTGCATCTTTTCGTATTTTTATACTACCACACGTATTTTTCTCCCGAAAAATGCTCGTTTCATGCGAAACAAGGGAGAATAGTTCTTCGTTTCAGCTCCAATACTCAAAGATAAGAAATGAATTCTTAAATAGAATAATAATGATGATATGATAGCCATCTCTTGATTTGGAAATGAAAAATTTCTTGATTAATTTTGCGTTATGAGACATATTTTCATCCTGAAAAGGATAAAATGTCTCTTGAACCAAATAATTTCAAATATTTTATTGTTGAAAGCAGAACTCCACTCGTTTGAGATCAGGATTTTTTTTCTGAGTGTGGAATCATCAGAAAAATTCAGGAGTTAAAAACGTTAAATTGTTTTGCATCACGTGCACACGAATCAATTGCTGTAAATGTCGATGAATCAATCAGTTGTCTCGTTTTGGATGAATATGATTTAAGTACATAGGCTCATGTAATTATCCTCTATGATTCATCATTTGAAATTCAGGAAAAAAACTTCTCCATCCATTTTTAGCAAATTTCCTTCTCATTCTTCTACTGCGGATGATTGATGGTCCTCTTTACGTATTACATAACTGCATTTGTTTTTTTTTTATATCTTGTCTTGCATTCTGGAGTGCAAAGACTAAAACGCCCTTGCTGATCACCATTAGCTTAAGATGTACGTGATGAAACTGTGAATTTATTTTGGTGAGGATCAAACGTTGAGGTCCTCCCAGTCTTCGACTTGTCGCGGGGTCAGTTCGACCTTTAATTTTCCAAGATTCACGAGGAGGAGGTCGTGGATTCTTGGAGGGATTGTGTTCTCACGGAGATCGACGTACTCCAGGGCTGGAGCTCGTTTCAATCTCTCCACATCGACATCTGGAATAGAACATTTAAATCATTAATACAGTTTGTTTTTTAATTTAAATCATTGATATAATTTGATTCAATGGAATTGGAGATGAGAAAGTGGCTTTTTGGGAAGTCATTTCGGGAGAAATTTATATATGAGAAAATCAAATCTTTTGCTGAGGAATTTTAGTGAAATTCTTTTGGAATTTTTTTTCGTTTTCTTATATTCAATCGAAAAAAGCAAATAAATTTTCATTTTTTTACGTGACTCGTCTCCTTGCGATTTTCAAATTTCAAAATAGTTTTTTGAAAATTTAATGAAATTAGTTAATATTTAAAAAATTTTTTTAATTAGTTGAATTAATTAATTTTGAAATTTAAAAATAATTTTTAAATCTTAAATTTTCCGAGATTTTTTTCTCACGTTTCAAAAGAATAGGGGCGTCTGGGGTAAAATGGAATAATTCTTTCTTCTGAGTCACGAAAATTGAAAAAATTGTCGAAAGGAAAATTTAAAAATCGTTGGATTTCAAAATTGCGAAATTTGCAATAAAAATTAGCAAAAAAATGGAATTTCCATAGAAAATTTTCTACTGAAAATCTCCTCAACTTCATTTTCCAATCTTGTAACTTTTTTTTAAGTATTCATACCTCAGGAATTGATTTATCAATCGATCTGCATCCAGACTTATTACATCGAGAAAGAAATAATCTTCTCATAACGAAAAAATCTCATTTTATGATAAATTAAATGGAACTGAATTGAATTTGTAAATTAGATGAAGTACTTAAATTTTTTGAAAAACTAAACTTTTAATTTTGTCTCATTCTCCTAGAATCGCTCCCGTTAAGCATAAATACATAATTTTCAGAGCCTCTTGTATTTGAAGTGTTGAATAAATAGGGAATATAGCAAAGTCCTTACCAATAATTGAATTATTGTTGGCGAGTAGTCGTTTCAGCTGAGGTATCCGACAAGTAACAGGTGGAAGTGCAATAAATGTATTGTGAGAAATATCGAGCCTCTCCAGTTCCTGAAGTTCCGCCAACTCTTCCGGTAATTTGCTCATTTGATTATGACTCAAATTCAACTCTATGAAACATAAATTCTCTTCATTAGTAGGTGAAAGTGAATTCTCATCAAAATATTATTTATGAATGAAGCAAAACTCACCGGTAATGAGTGAAAACTTGACCGCAAATTTTGGGGGAATTTTTGTGATAACATTGCCAGATAAGTCGCAGGACTTGAGCTCCGTGTGCCGCATCAGGTGATACACAGCGTCGGGCACTTGCATCAGCTGGCATTCGGACAAATCTGAAAAGAATGGGGATATTATTATGGAATCGAGTGACTTAATCTATTCTCTTCCTCTCTTTTTTTGTAAAAAAAATTAAAAAAAGAGTTTATTGTCATTTTGGTGATTCATCTTTGCTTTACACTGTTAACAATTTTTGGTTGAAATTTTCAGTATATTTATCGGAAATTTTTATCACATTTTAGTTCCACTGAAATTTTCTAAAGAAATTTTGTCATTGAAAATTCAGAATTTCACGGAAAAATCAAAGAGAACTGTAAATTTCAGTTCAATTATTCCCTGAAAATTAACAGAAATGATTAAAATTCCAGTAAACATATTCTGAAATTTTTAATTTATTGAAAATTCAGTGTAATTTGATGTTGAATATCCATGTTTTCGTGGAAAATGGAAATGAGCTGAGGAATTCTCGTTTTAAGAATATCCAAGTTAGAAAAAACTTTTCTATTTTTGTAATTGAATATTAGAGCTTTCATTTGAGCCTCATTTGACCCCCAGTTTTCGGACATTTTTCAATGATTTTATTATTTGAACTTTGCAGGCCTGAATTTGAATCTCGATAGAGAACCGTTAGAAAACATTTTAAAAATCTCAAAAAAAAATAGAAAGTTTATTTTTGGGGTAAGATTGATGAAATAATTTTAAAATAGCAATTTATGACAATTACGAGCATTTTTTATGAATAATTTATAAATAATCAATTTTCCACTGTAAAAATTATTTGTTCGAAGTCGTAACAAATTTATTCATACTCAGAATTTTAGTAGAAATCGATTTCATGCCTAAAAAAATTAGGTTTAAGAAAGTTTAAATGATTTCAATTACTTATTTAAAACGGAGGAATATTTTTAAAAATAATAATTTTTTACCAAATTCAACTTCAGCCTAAGTTTTCGGACTCTACAATGATTTTATTATTTAAACTTTGCAGTTCTAATTCTAAATCTCGATAGAGAACCGTTAGAAGACATTTTAAAAATCCGAAAAAAAAATTAGAATGTTTACTTTCGAGGAAGATTGATGAAATAATAAAAAAATTGCGGGCATTTTCTATAAATAATTTATAAACAATTAATTTTCTACCAGAACAATCATTTGTTCAGAATCGTAATAAATTTATTGATATTCAGAATTTTAGCAGAAATCGATTTAATGCTTAAAAAAAGATTTCCGAAAGTTTAAAGAATTTCAATTATTTATTTATAAACAAGGAATGTTTGAAAAAATAATAATTCTGTGCAAAATTCTAATTGAATGACGCTGAATATTCTTGATTTTTTTCAAATTTTTCTCGCGCAATTGAATTGACAAATTTTATGATTAAAAATGGTTGAATCAAAGTATAAAAAATACTTGAATGTTTTTAAAGCTGTTCAAAAATTCGAATATTCAATTGAATTGAAAATTCCCATGTCACTATCCTGAAAATGTCAATTTTTTTCGAACAATGTACTAACGAATCTGAAGAACTGTTAATAAATTCGCCCCTTCAATTTATCCTAAATTCAGTAAGCGGTAAACCGGGTTAAGTCGATTTTGACTTTTCGTCAGTTTTTGACGGATATCTCGGGACCTAAGAGAGATAGCGAAATTTTGCTCACGACCTTTTTTATAACACTTAATTGCATCTACAAAAAAGGTTATGACAAAAATTTTTTTATCTCTTTTAGATTCCGAGATATTCTTCAAAAACTGGCCAATAGTCAAAATCGTCTTAACCCGGTTTACCGCTTCGCTACTGAATTATTACTTCCTCAAATACAACAACATTGTTACGCAAGAAATTTCGTTTTCAGAATCAGCTGAAAATTGACTCAACAAGTGCGCCGAGGGAATTGTAAATGAATTAAATGCCCGAGTGATGATGATGCAAACAAAAAAAACGGTATCTATGTGTATGAAAGTGATTCAAACGCTCAGAACGTAAGGTTCACGCTTTCACATTGCGATTTCCATTGCGGAAATGTAATTAATGTCCGACTCTTCATTTCTTCAATAACACAAAAAATTGAGTAAAAGTTTTTTCCGAGTAGACGTTGATAATTAAATCAATTAATTCCCGTCGGGATTGCAAACGTTCATTCATTTTCCGAGAATATTTTTTTTTATTTTCAAGGAAGATTCATTCTCCGACTGCTGAGGAAAATAAAACCTACATTTCTTTCTGATGATTGATAAAAATCAGTTGCATCAGTAGCTTTGACGAAATGAAATTAAAAAAAAAATTTTGTTCATCACTTGGACGTGAAAATTCGATGCACATTATCTATTTTATTTTTGAATAATCCCCTCGGGTTGATGAATTGAACTTTTTATCGGAATGGAGGAAGAAAACTGTCCATCATTTGAAGAGAAATAAAAATGGATTGAACGTTGAAGAAAAATCCTCAAATTGAATAAAAAAATTCAAAATTTCTACGGGATAAATTTAATTGTTATTCTTTGCATTATTTGCTAGAAATTAGTATAAATCACGTGGTTAAGATTAGCATCAGTTCTTGAATATTTAAAAATCCTTTTATCAATGGAAATATAAAGATCTTCATGACCGTAATAGAATTTTTATTCGAAAAGAATAATAAATTTCTTTTTTTTTTTTTTTTTATATAAATATAAACTAGATTAGCCAGCGCTCTGCGCGCGTAGGCTCTATAATATAGAGTCTATATACGTGCCTCAGGCATTAATAGTACCGGTTAGATTTTTATTCAAAGTATAATGATTGCACAATTTCATTTTATTGTTGTTTATGAATGTACAGCAGATCCTTACATATTTGTTGAGATTTTATTTGCCATTTTATTTAATATACTATACTATTTTTAATTTAGTTTCAAATTTTCTTTTTTTACGTCAATTTTTTTTAATAATTTTTTTATATGGTCTATTAGTATAATGTATTATATATAATAAATAAATGAAAAATTAAATTAAAGTTAAATTTTGTGTTATAGTACATTATATATTATATATAATATATTATAGTATAATAAAAAATTTATATACTAAAGAATGGAAAACGTTAGGTGGAATACATTGGCTTCAAAAAACGTTACATAGGATTGCGTATTAAAGGAATTATTAATGAGAACGGAAATTTAAGAAATATTATGAAGTCCAGATTTCATGCACAAAAAAATTTAATACAAAAAACTTGCGAATTCGCTAGACAATTCTATTGGATTTCTACAGAAATTTCCATTAGTTTTTGGCTGATCCTATTGAAATATTCAATAGAAAATATTTTACAAAAAAATCAATGAAATTCGATTTTTCCGTACCACTTACTCTATTGAGATATTTTCTATAGAATGTCCTCAACCGAAATTTTACGAGCTTTTTTTTATTTTCTTGATGAAAAGGAAACGAAAACGAAAAAAAATTGGAAAAGAGTTTGAGTTTGAGTTCAAGAAATGCTGTAGCAAATATCTCAATGGAATAAGTTGTAGAAAAAATCAAATTCTATTGACTTTTGCTATAGAATATTTTCTACTGAACGTTTCCATTAGAATCGATGAAAAACTAATAGAAAGTCTGTAAATTAGATTTTTCTATACAACTTAATCCCATGAGTTATTTTCTATAGAATTTCCTCGGCTAAAATTTTCCAAGTTTTTTTGTTCGATTTTCTTGATGAAAATTAAAGAAAAATAGAATGGAAAAACTTGGAAAATCTGAGAAATCCAATAGAATTGTCTTGCGAATTCGCTAGGTTTTTCTATTAAATTTTTTCGTGCGTGTTATTAAAAAATCGACACCCAAAATGATTTTTCATGCATCTAAAATGATAATCATTTCTACGCCGCAATCAGAACAATATTCAACTCAATAAATTTAAGAATTTGTTTTCAAATAAAAAGCAGTGATTTTACCCCGAGTAGTCACAGCTCCTTAACCTTAATCTCCACAGCAGATTTAATTTTCTACATTAAAAATGATAAAATTCGGTATTTTACCGAGATTCTTATGCTCCTGCGCATCCTCACAACGGCAAATGACTCTTGTTACTGCGTTCGCCATTTACAACCGGTTTATCTCAATTAATCCCAGAAAAAAACTTTTTTTACATCATTAAAATCCTCTCGACCGAGTGTAGGAGTTGCGCTCAGCTACACTTCCTACCTTCCTCCATCCTCTCCCTTCCTCATTACATTTATTTTAAGTGCGCGCTAAAAATAAACACTCATCGATTCGAATTTGAATAACAGAGGTCGCTCGGGAAATTCCCATTACGAATCCGGCGACCGTCGCAAAACTCTGTCGCCTCAGTTTTTTAAATAAAAATTACGATTCGTAACAAAAACAGGGGAAAATGAAAATTCAATTGCGATCGATACTTTATTATCTCTCAACTGATAAGGATTAGTTACTATCAATGCAGTTGGCTCGCAATAAAATTAAAGAAAACGTATCGTGAAGTGCAGCAAAATGACTCAATCTTTGTTTACAATGCGAATGGAATAAAACAAATTTTCAAACGGATTTTACATAGACAAATCGTAAAAGTTGGTGTTGCGCTCTGTCATTGGGCAAGACTCCAATAAATTACGCCGCTTACGGCCGCCTCAAGGACCTAACGAATCATTGCTGTAACCCTTTGTTTTAATCACTGATGCAGAGAAAAATGTTTCTAGTTTACAGTAAAAATATTTGAAGTTCAAAACTGTTTTGGGTGGAATTTTTGGTGGATTTTGGCTATTTTTTCTCCGGGAAAATGCTTTTCTAGTTTTGTATTCGAACATCAAAGCTTTCATTTGAGCCCCATTTGAGCAGAAGTTTCCGGACATTTTACAATGATTTTATTATTTAAAGTTAATTGCAGGTCTGAATTTGAATCTTAATATCGAATCGTTGAAAAATATTTTGAAAATCTGAAAAAAAATTAGAAAGTTTAATTCGGAGAAGACTGATGAAATAGTTTAAAAATTGCAAATTTAGAACATGATTGGCCTTTTTGGATAAATAATTTATAAACAATCAATTTTCCAATGAAAATCATCTGTTCGAAATCGTGACAAATTTATTCATATTCAGAATTTTACCAGAAACCGATTTAATGCCTGAAAAAAATAACGTTTCCGAAAGTTTAAACAATTGTAATTATTTGTTTGTGAACAGCGAATGTTAAAAAAAAATAATAATTCTATGCAAAATGTAGTTTGAATGATGCTGAATATTCATGATTTTCTTCAAATTTTTCTCACGCAATTTAATTGACAAATTTTATGATTGCAAATCATAAAATTCACACACCCATGGATCATCCCATAATTGAAGACCCATGGATCATGTTTTATTCCTCGAATTGAGGAATTTGTAATGGTGAATCTGTAGTATATATCTATTGATTAAAAGAAAAATTTCTAAATAATTTTTACTTGACTTCAGTATAATTCTACTTGAATTAAAGCGCATTTTCTCTTATTTTGAGGAATTTTTGGTTCTGGAATTCAGAATTTTCCGGTTCTTAAATAAAAAACTTCTCTTTCTTGGATTTCAAGAATTTTTCCTAAAAAAAAATATGAATGTCCATTTTTCATTCACGTTTATTTCCTACTTTTCTTCGTTATATTTAAGACAAGTAAATAAATTCATGCACCAGAAGAGTTTTGAATGCCTTGTGCATTCAAAACGTTGTTTAAAACTCCTTCATACAGAAATATAGTGAACGAAAAATTCTGGAAATAAGTGAAATGCTGACGGATTTTAAGAAAATTTTCCTGGAAAATTGGAGGAAAAATTCTTAATAATTTTTACTTAAGTTTGAAATAATTCTGATTGCATCAAAGCACATTTTATCTCTATTTTGAGGACTTTTGGGTTCTGGAATTCAGAATTTTTCGGTCTTCAAATAAAAAACTTCTCGTTCTTCAATCAAGGATTTTCCCCAAAAGAATACCCTAATATCTCCTTTCCATTCGCGTTTATTTCCTAGTCTTCTTCACTATATTTATGACAAGTAAATAAATTCATGCCCCAGAAGAGGAACGCCTTGTGCATTCGCAACGTTGCGCAGTGGCCTCATAATTTCGCCGAGATTTTCCCATTTTTTCTTTGTTCTTCCTGTTCATTTTTGCATCTGACTGGACACAATGGTCAGTCTTTTATGAGAAAAAACAATAATTCTCTGTGGGCCGTTTTTTCCTTCTCTAAAATTAACTCACTCGAGTTGATCAATCTTTTGTTATTTAAAGTTTATTGCCTTGACTCAATTCATGGTGAATTACTGTTCAATTATTCTCGATGTTTATCCTTCCTGAATGTTCTTTGTTTGAAAATGCAAAGGTTCTTGATTCGAGAATTTATCTCGAAATTAAAATGACATTTCGCCCTCGAATTGAGCATTTTTCCTGTTATAAAAATAATTTACTCGTGTGAATTTGTTAATATTGAAATAATTGCGAATTATTCCAGGATTTTATTCCTTCCGTATGCTCTTTGTTTGAGCACGCAGAGGCTCTCGATTTAATTAAAAACCCAACGGTTCTTCGTTTAACCTTAGGTTGGCCATCATATGAGGGAAACGCCGCGGCGCGTCGTTTCTCTTTAATTACTATTGACTGCCTAACCGGAAAAATAAAGAGCCTTTTTTAATTGAATTGTCTAAAGAATTTATTTCAAACATAACTTTATGAATTCCCGAAATTCATAAAAAAACAGATTATTTCCAATGGATGAATTATTTTTTCTCGGACAGTGTAGAGTGAATTCGGCAACGCTGGAGGCTGAATAACGCGGCGGGGAATCCCCGCGAAGGTGACCAATCGCATATCAATTTCATATTAAACATAGAATTTTTATTCATTTTTTCTGATTTTTTGAGATTTTTTCTAGATTTTAATCTTCTCCCAAACCGCGAAAAGTTCATTTTCTTGTCAATTGTCAATCATATTAGCCTGCTGATTGAGCACAAACTCAATTAGAATGTTTCGGAAATTATTTCAGCTTTTAATCTTCCAAATTTAGTTGAGAAGCGGCAAAATGGTTCAAGTCGATTTAGCCCTTAGCTGAGTTTTCGAGAAATATCTCCGAATCTGAGGGAGATAACGAAATTTTTATGATTACCTTTTTTATAGAGCTAATTAAGGGCTACAAAAAAGATTATGAAGAAAATTTTGCTATCTCCCTTAGATTTCCAGGTATTCATCGAAAACCGGCCAATAGCCAAAATGCGCGTTACGCGATGTGGCCCGAAACTCGCTAAACGCGCCCGGGCAGTGTAGAGTGAATTCGGCAACGCTGGAGGCTGAATAACGCGGCGGGGAATCCCCGCGAAGGTGACCAATCGCATATCAATTTCATATTAAACATAGAATTTTTATTCATTTTTTCTGATTTTTTGAGATTTTTTCTAGATTTTAATCTTCTCCCAAACCGCGAAAAGTTCATTTTCTTGTCAATTGTCAATCATATTAGCCTGCTGATTGAGCACAAACTCAATTAGAATGTTTCGGAATTTATTTCAGCTTTTAATCTTCCAAATTTAGTTGAGAAGCGGCAAAATGGTTCAAGTCGATTTAGCCCTTAGCTGAGTTTTCGAGAAATATCTCCGAATCTGAGGGAGATAACGAAATTTTTATAATTACCTTTTTTATAGAGCTAATTAAGGGCTACAAAAAAGATTATGAAGAAAATTTTGCTATCTCCCTTAGATTTCCAGGTATTCATCGAAAACCGGCCAATAGCCAAAATGCGCGTTACACGACGTTGCCCGAAACTCGCTAAACGCGCCCGGGCAGTGTAGAGTGAATTCGGCAACGCTGGAGGCTGAATAACGCGGCGGGGAATCCCCGCGAAGGTGACCAATCGCATATCAATTTCATATTAAACATAGAATTTTTATTCATTTTTTCTGATTTTTTGAGATTTTTTCTAGATTTTAATCTTCTCCCAAACCGCGAAAAGTTCATTTTCTTGTCAATTGTCAATCATATTAGCCTGCTGATTGAGCACAAACTCAATTAGAATGTTTCGGAATTTATTTCAGCTTTTAATCTTCCAAATTTAGTTGAGAAGCGGCAAAATGGTTCAAGTCGATTTAGCCCTTAGCTGAGTTTTCGAGAAATATCTCCGAATCTGAGGGAGATAACGAAATTTTTATAATTACCTTTTTTATAGAGTTAATTAAGGGCTACAAAAAAGATCAGGAAGAAAATTTTGCTATCTCCCTTAGATTTCCAGGTATTCATCGAAAACCGGCCAATAGCCAAAATGCGCGTTACACGACGTTGCCCGAAACTCGCTAAACGCGCCCGGGCAGTGTAGAGTGAATTCGGCAACGCTGGAGGCTGAATAACGCGGCGGGGAATCCCCGCGCAGGCGACCAATCGGAGTGTCGCGATCAGTGACCAGACGAGCGTTAAATACCTCCTCTACTTGAAATAAGGCTTTTCGTACCGAATTTTAAGGTTTATTCATCTGAAATTAAGTGACCAGTTTCTTATTCTCAGTACAATGCCTCTCGAGAACCATGTGTTTCTCAAAATTAGCAATTTGGTTCTGAAAACTGAAAACTTTTTCTCTCTGTAGATTTTTCCATTCATCTTTTTTGCAATTACAAATAAACTTTAAAACCGAAGATCAAATAATCAATCAAAACAAGGGCAACAAAAAGGAAAATTAACTTTTAATTTTAAAATCCTTTGAAACCTCTCCAATTACTCTAATTACCAAAGAATTATTTTGCCGTCTTCAACGAGTGGACTCGGGAATGTGATCATCAAGTAATCCACTTTCTCCTAATGCGTGATGTTATATCCTAATTAAAATAATAACTTCTCTAAGAATGCCGAAATTGCCTTGGAGGTGATTCTGCAAATGTCTTGAAAGAAAGAGTTTGAGAGAAATTCATCAAGAGACATCTTTCACAGGAGATTCTATCGACTTCCAAGAAGATCTTTTCAGCTCTTGCTCGCAACCTCTTTATTTAGTGAGTTATTCATGACTTAATCTGAATAAAATGGAAATGTGAATTTGAATGAAATATGAAATTGTTAATTTTTAATGACAAAATCGTTTGGAACTTCAGTAAAACTTTCATTCTATAGAAAAATGTCGAGCAATGCAAAATATTCCACAGAAAAAGTCAATTCGATTTTTCAATACAACTGATTCTATTGAGATATTTTCTATAGAAATTCCTCGGCTCCAGTTTTCCAAGTTTTTTTGGTGGATTTTATTACTGAAAAGGAAATAAAAATAATTGCGGAAATTTAGAAAATTCATGTTTAGGAATTCCTATGCCTCAATAGAAAAACTTGAATGAAAGCATGAAATTCTGTCGATTTTTTCCATGCAATAATTTCTATTGGGCATTTTCTTAAAAGAACGCGCGAAGAATGAGTCGTATCGAGAAATCGAATTCTTTTTCCTTTTTCGACAGAATATTTTCTATTGAATTCATTTTATTTCAATAGAATCACCTAAAAACTAACAGAAAGTTCAATAGAAATCCAACAGAATTGTCTACCGAATTCGCTAGCTTTTCCGCAAAAATTTTTTTTTTCTTGCGTCAACTTTTCGTAAGTACACTTACCCAAATTACAATTGTCCTGCGCCTCTTCGCACCTCGATACGACGCGAATGATGGCCCTGCCAGCAAGTTGCACGCAAATAGCGGTGGCAACATTTCTCTCGCCCTCTTCCTGGGAAATCTGCTGGACTCCCTCGTTATTATACGCCGGTGGCTTCATCCTCACTCCCCAATTCCTTTTTTACCTCAACTCAAACAGGAAAACCCAACTCCTTCACTTATTCACACGCGAAACAGACTAGAAAAACCTAATATAATAACTCCGTAATTTCCGTTATTTTCACGTAATTTCCGGATTCCTCGATGAGCAGAAAAAACTTTAACAGATGTGTAAACAATAGAACTGACTCAAGTAAAAAAATTTGTAATCACACGAAATTGCGCGAAAGGAACAATGAGGGCATTTCCCACGTAAAGGAGGATAGAACTTTCACCGAACAGTGGAGTTGTTAGTGAATATAGTGAGTAAACACTAGTGAAATTTATTCCGATTATTTAATCGTGATTTGCTATCGGTGGGCAGCGCTCCCCTGGCTTGCAGGAACCGCTGCTTGGCACTGGCTTGGCACACGTTGAAACAGTGGTATTTAAGCCTTCAACTGTATTCCTCCCACCCCACCCACCCATCCACGAGGAGAGATGTACCTTGGATCAGCTGACTTTGTCTGAGTGGTTTCCTCCTTTGTTTGAAAACAACTGTAGACAGCGGGGCTGCGCGCGAGGACCACGTGGCCGATCCATCCGACCAATGTCGTTATCGGAAGCAATGGATCTGTCAAATTCGCACTGGGAGACAAAAAGTTGATCGTGAACGGGCCTCGTTCGATGCAAAAGATCACGATCGAAACTAGTGGATTGGGCTGTTGGTCGCTCGCTGCGCTCGCTCCCATTGCGGGTGGGTTGGTAGCGGATGTATTCATGTGGGTCTGACCCGTCGGACGGGTCGCACCAACAACTTCCCGATATTATTATTCCTCCCATTTTGACTAAAAGAATCCTTTTCAACTCTCAATACTCTGTTTATTTATTCATGAGAAACCCTTGTCTGAGCGATTTTCAAACTTTTCTCCAGGGAATTTTGGAAAAACCACTGCAAAAATCACTGGAGTTTCAGAAAATCCTAGATAAATCACTGAAGTGATTGACTCTAGTGATATCCTGATGTTGACAATGCCAATCACGTCATTTATACAGGAGAAATACTTATCTTAACCATTTTCAAACATTTCTCCAGGAAAATTTGGAAGAACTACTGGAGCGAATTACTCCAAAATCTAATCAGGTCTAAGTTACATGAAGACGTATCGATTGGAGAAAAAAAAAGTTAAATCGGACCATTCGTTCACGAGAAATCGTTGACCAAAATTTTGACCACATACGTACAAAGTAACACACACACACACACACACCCACAGACATTTTGTTAAAAACTATCGAGGAACATTAGAAACACCTTGAAACGTGGAGATATCATGGAAAATCGATTTTTCATTTTCCGGGGCATTACAATAACTTCCCTGTCCGGGAAGTTAAAAATTTAATGGAAAAATCTATAGCGAATTCGGTGGGAAATTCTAGTGGATTTCTATTACAATAAAACACATCTTATTTTTTGTAATACCTGCCGTTGTAAAAATCTGTGATCTACGGTTATCTGGAAAACTGTGAAATTTTCGGAAGAATTCAAGCAATTTTTTCAGTTTTCTAGGAAATCAATTCATAACCCTCCCCTGATTTTTCAGCAATTACAGATTTTAATCAAATTATTTTAAAAAGTAAAAAAAAAGAATTAATCGAAGATTAGAAATTATTCATTGATGCCTCACTCTTCATTCTCTTCATTCTTTTAATTCTCTTTAAGTCATTATCAATATTTATAAAACATCTATGAGTATATGAAGTTTAATAAACTCGATTTCTTCATTGTCACAACAAAAAGATGAGCGCGCGCGAAAGCGTGCGCACAGATCTAGTTTTGTTTAATTCAGCAGCCAAGTGGTAAAACGGTGCAAGTCAATTTTGACTGTTGACCAGTTTTCAATGAATATCTCGGAGTCTAAGGGAGATAGCAAAATTGTTGTTAGAAACTTGTTTGTAGAGCCGATTGAGGGCTACAACAAATGTCATTACGATAATTTCGATATCTCCCTTAGATTCGGAAATATTTCACAAAAACTCAACTGAGAGATGAGTCGACTTGAAACGTTTTACCACTTCGCTACTAAATTTAATTCAATTCAATTTGTTTATTGCATTTTATGACCTCACACATTTTATTGAGTTTTATTTTGGGATTTATAATCTCGTATTGAGACTTAAAAGTCCCAAATTGACATTTTTGAAGAATTCTCTTCAAGTCATTATCAATATTTATAAAACATCTATGAGTATATGAAGTTTAATAAACTCGATTTCTTCATTTTCACAACAAAAAGATGAGCGCGCGCGAAAGCGCGCGCACAGATCTAGATCACAAAAAATTGGATGTGTTACACGTGCCTACGAAAAAATGGATCTTTACGCACTAGTAATACAATATACTCATTACGCACTCGTATCGAAATATACCATTTTGTGACAGAAAAAACATCTCACAAAGTCTTTTCTCCCTTGTTTCGCCTGAAACGTACATTAGGAACAACTAAATCTATTTCTGTGACAAAAATTTCTCATCTCAAGACACTAAACATTGAGCACGAGATTTTTTTTCAATTTTCATAATTAATTTTTGTAAATTGCGATATTGCTTGAATTTGTTTTGTTAACGTGTGCCGCATCGCAATTCTTAGGATTGTCATAAATCACGTTACATAGCACTTTGTAACGTTTTTTCATTTTGATTAATTTGCTTTGGTTGCGGGAGGGGGAGGGGGAATGTATCATAGTTCGAGTTGTTGACCTCTAGTCCCAACCCAATTCTAGATGCCTCGATGGTAATTTCGATAGCATCCAGATGGGAATCGGGTGAATATAATGGTTCATAAAACAAGACGTGATATGGATTTCGATAGATTCGAGGTGAATCCGTTGTAATTTTTTTATGTATTTGTGACACTCTTTAAACGTCATTACTGCCGCATTTGCGCGTTATTCCCAGTTTCTGGTAATTACGGTTGGAGTCATATATTTCGATGTTGACGCACGTGGAAGATATTATTTTGTCGAATTGCCAAAAGTTGTTGAACGCATTTTCCTCGGTTTTTCAGACAAAGGCAAAGTAGGAGAGGTTTTTATTCGGGGAAACGGTTTTTCTTTGTTCGGCGGACCGAGTGTCGAAGGTCGAATGAGGAATTTCGAGGTTTTCTTTGTTTAGGTAATGTGTCTATTTCAAAATTTTGGTTAACGCAGAGGTTATTGATTCAGTTTTTCAAACGGGGAAAACCATCTTCTTTTGTCAAATTGAACGCATTTGGTGGGATGAATGTCTGGCGTATTTTCATCGTTTACGCAGATTCGCGCTTAAAGTAGTACCAGAGCTGTGCGCGCGCTCATCTTTTTCTTGTGAAAATGAAGAAATTGAATTTATTAAACTTCATATACTCATAGATATTTTATAAATATTGATAATGACTGAAAGAGAATTAAGAGAATGAAGAGAATGATGAGTGAAGCATCAATGAATAATTTTTAATCTTCGATTAATTCTTTTTTTTTACTTTTTAAAATAATCTGATTAAAATCTGTAATTGTTGAAAAATCAGGGGAGGGTTATGAATTGATTTCCTAGAAAACTGAAAAAATTTCTTGAATTCTTCGGAAAATTTCACAGTTTTCCAGATAACTGTAGATCACAGATTTTTCTCGAATTATTTGGGAAACCGAAGAATTTTCGTGAATTTTGTAGAGTTTAGAATTTATGTATGAAAATTTGAGAAGCAAGAATTCATTTTGGCGTGTGATAAATATGAAAAAATTAAAATTTGGGAAGTGAAGAATAATTTGTGAGTTAAAAAAATTTAGAAATACTGTGTTTTTTTTTCTCATGATCAACAATTAGGCAATTTAGATATGTTTTAATATAAAGATCAACTTCACACAAGAAAAAATGAAAAATATGACGCAGAAAAAATTTTTAACATTTGAAGAATTTGAAAATCCCTCATTGACCAATCAAAATTGCGGATTAGCGGTCAGGCAGTTTCGAGATATTTCGATAGAAAACAACTTCACGTTTCTTTCATCTTTACTAAATAGGATATCCAAGCCCCACGTAAGTCGTTGAGGGTAGTGAAGAAAAATATATTTAAAATTCCGCAAAAAAAATTCATCATTGATCATTTTTTACATGATAACTAAGTTTGACGAGAGTAAAAAATGAATCCGTCAAATTTTCTCTACAATTATTTTCTTAAACAATAAATATAAATTATTTATCACAAAAGTTTGACACTGACGATAATATTCGGATTAAGCATTAAATTTCTATTCATTTTTTATTGATTTTTTCTACGTTTTAATCTTCACTTTCACCTCGAAATATTCATGTTCTCATAAGACGCTGTGTTATTTTTGTACTTCTAGATTAATTATTATCAATAATGCTAGACTGCCCATTGAGCACGTCCCCAACCGGAACGTTTTTATTCATATCAACTTCCGTTAATAATTTATTTCAGATTTTCATCTTCAAAATTTAAGTTATATTTACACTGCTTTAAGGTTTGATGGAGTAGTGCGTATAAAACTTTTTAATTTTTCGATTTTAATCTTTTTTAATTTTTTGTCGATGGATATCTCAAAAATTTGCGTGGAAAAAATACTTGAAATTTTGAGAATCGTTTTCACATGTGCTCAACAACACGTGATCCAAATTTTAGGTCTTCAGTTCATTGCGAAATTCTCACTAAGTATAACTCACTGAGGAAGTACCTTAAATGAAATTGCCCATGACGCGATGTTGCCGGAAACACGCTAAACGCGCCCGGGCAGTGTAGAGTGAATTCGGCAACATTGAAGCCTAAATAACTCGGCGGCGAATCCCCGCGGAGATGACCAAGTCGCAGGGTCGCGTTCGTGACCAGACTAGGGTTGAACTTTCGGAACTCAACTTGAAATTTGTTTTTAAGGGTAATTCCGAATGTCTCAACTTGAGACTTTGGCAATGTCCTCTTCTGAATTCCCAAAAATTCGAACTATTGGCTAAATTGAGATCTCTGAAATATTTCTCTCCATACTGCACCTTCCAGTTTGTGGTGGCAACCGACTCCGAAGCTCTTACAGCAATAGATAAATTCTTTACAAAATGTAACCTTCAAATTTAACCAAAATGTAAAAAAAAGGGTAAAAGGAAAAAAAAAAGCAATGTAAAAAAAGTAATTGTATAAGATCTTACCGACAGTGTAAATAACCCTGATATGGGTTCTATACTATAAAACAATAAAAAAAAAAAAAAAAAAAAAA